ACACCGACAGCGTTTTTTGCACAGATTTCCTTTTAGGTTTATACAGCAGATAAACCTGAAGAGTTCTGTTACTGAGGCGTGAATAGCTAGTTCAGTGGTGTGAATAAATAATAGTTTAGAGAATCAAATAATCATGAAAATGTCATGGAAAATCAAGGCTCCTAAGTCTGCAACTGAATTAGCTTCTGGTTTAGCAATTCCTCCACAGCTCAAAAGTTATATTCATAGAATCATAGAATCACAAGGACCTGTAAGATCATCTAGTCCAACCATCCTCCTATCACCATTACAAACCACTAAGCTACTATGTTTATGCAGATAAATTTGGATTTATAATTAGATGTTTTGTCTCTTTAATTGCACATAGAAGAGCTTCCCTACTGGCAGCTGAAAAACAGTTATATAAGAATTTCAAGAAACAAAATTGAAACAGGCCCATGGATGCAGTAGAATCTCTGTCTAAATGTTCAAACCTTGGCTGGACACAGCATTCACCAATCTGCTCTATGTGGCTCTGGTTTGAGCAGGAGCCTGGAGCAGAGACTCTGGATAGAGATCCTTCAAAACTGTGATTTTGTGTCTCTCATGCTACAACACTCAACAGTAAAAATCTGTGCAGAGGTGGGAAGTTATAAGATGAAAAAACAAGCTGGCATCTGAAACCCAACTTCCATATTCTTCCTTTTCAGAGTGCAGATATGTTTCTACTGTCGCTTAATAGTAGTTTACAAAAAGATAGCAGGAAATTTTTTACAGTACCAAGGTTGTACTGCCCATGAAAGCCAGAAAAAAAACCCAAATTATCCTTGTGAAAATTAGGGTAATGGGTCAAGTAAAGCAAAGTAAATGTCAGAGTCCTGGAGGGTGATACACTGATCCTGAGTTTGTATGTCCACCTCTGCAGGAGCAGCCTTTCTGTGGGCTTTGTGCTAGTCAGAATTTCTGCAGGATATGGCAAGGATATTCTCTGGAGAACAGGTCACAGTCCCTAACACTCAGCTGAGATTTGTCCTGCCCAAATTAAGTGCCAGAATCTACACCTGACATAGTTCCTCCAACCTCCTTGTTGATATAACGAGAAATGCAAACTTCTGGGAAGAAGCAAGGAGAAAGTTGAGACAAACTGGCTCAGACAACATCCATGGCTCCATAGAGTTGGGAAAAGTTACCCCAAGGCCATACCATTGCATTAAGAAATACTGCAGGCACTTGCCTTTAAAACAGGAACATATTCTAAGTAAGTGAGTGAAATGAAAAGAAATTGAAGAATTAATTAACCAAATAGAGGTGATTAAAGTAAATAAAGGAAACAATTATCATATCAAAATAAAATACAAGGAAGATGATTAAATGAGTCTTCAAAAGACCCATGAGAAACTCATGAAAGACATAATATGCATTTACCTGGTTTTCATTCTTTCATGATTTCATTTTCATTTTTATTCACTAACATCTGATAATTGCAAGAAACAGTTACTTTAACCATGGGCAATTTAAACCATTTTAATTTTTTTTCCAGGGCCAAGAGACAAAAGAACCTATTTATTGCCTGAGGGGATTTTTACTAAAATGAAAGCTTAATCTTTTATGTTTTTTTAAGCAAAGGCTTTTAAAAAATCATTTCTAACAATGCAGTAGGGAGAGACTTCTATGGGTATGCAAAATTGAAATTATAAATTTACAATTATAAAAAAATTAATAGTTTGGGGGATTGCATTGTCTCTGTTCTTTCTGAATGAATAGTGTTTCAAGCTTAAGAGAAAGTATTTAGTACATGAAGGAGAATGAGTGTCCTTAGACTCTGTGGCGGTCAAAGCTTTTTAGTAAGTATACAGCACATATGAGAGAAACATCACTGGAATTTAATTTGCTTGGAAATATGTGAATCTTGAAGAAAGAGTTCCATACAAATTGAGCAATCACTACTGAATCACTGTGAATATTTTTCTTGTGAGCACGCTGCAATTAGAAGGCAGCAGCAAAACTTGACATGATCAAATATCAGATACCATGCTGGTTTCTCACCTCCTAGCCTGTTTTTCTGTGTTGCCAATGCATCAAAGTTGGTCTGACCTCCATGGTTAACAGTCTGATGCATTGAAGGTTGCTAATCTTATCTATATAAATTTAAGCTGCAAGATGAATTTGAATGGAAGTAACAACAAGCTGGGACTCTTATAACAGACACAGACAAAAGACAAAACAAGAGCTTGGGTGGTCCTGTGTGGGACTCAATGATCCTTATGAGTCCCTTCCAACATGGGCTATTATATGATTCTGTGATTCCAGGTTTTGGTCGAAGATGCATTCAAGAGAGATCTTCAGGAGGGATACAGTTACATAAGGGTAAAAATGTGGATGTGATTTATGATGTGGCTGGCACACTTTAAGGCATATTAAAGTATGTGCTCAAGTCCATTCCTGTTCAGAGTAGGATTTTGGTTTTAACAGCATCAAGGAAATAATTCAATTTAAGCATGTACCTTTACACTCTCCTAAATTTGGGTAGTTTTCTGGACTGAGAAATATTAATTTAATGCATTATCTGGAGAGACACAAACATTTCTTACTGGGCTTTGTGCAGGCTTTGAAATCAGACAAAATAATTTACACTTATGAAGCACAACAAACTCAAGTGTTCTATTAAAAGAAAACTAGAACAAAAAAATATCCTCAAGGCCTCCAAACATTCACACTCTAAGAGGCACATTTAAATGTTTTCTGCCAACATATTTCAAATTCTAATGGAAATACTTTGAGCTATTCTGACAAGCTTTATTGAACTAAATTCATTTCATACAGAGCAGAGAAGAACCATTGAAGATATTGTTTAGGTTTAAAAAATACTTAATAGGGTAGAGAATGTGGAACCAGGTAAGAAAGCTCAAACTGAAAGACATTTTATCAGGGGTTGTTTTTAGGCTGGTTGTGCAATAGAAAGAGGTTAAGAAAGCTACTAAATATGGATTTTCTCTTTCATATGCCAACCTGCCTATAAGACTGTCTATAAGAAGCAACTGTCATTCAGAATACACCATTTCAGAGGTTAAATGTCCTGGATTTTTTGAAAATATCGTACCTTTAAAGTGTGAGCCAGAATAATTAATCTCTTTGGAAAACCCTGCTACTTGCTGTAAGATGGCACCCCAAGAACTCTTATCTTGAAAAAGTACCTTCCCAGCCAAAGCATCTTCCTAAGCACATGCTTCTGCAGGCTTGGACATTGGCTGAAGTCACTCATCCATCCAGGCATTCAGGAGGCTGGGTTAGAAGGAACCAGCAACTCAGCCAGGCTGGATAAGGAGATTGTGTTAGAGAGGGAATGTGGAAAATGTGGACCTGAAATGTGAATTTGAGTCCTATGCTAACATGGTAAGGCAAATACCACAGCAGAAGCGTGCTGCTGCCTGAGATTCTCACACCCCACAACTGATAGGAAAGTTCACTTCTAGACCCTCTGCACTGCTGTGCAGTATGTTCAGTTGTTTTAAGAGGTCTAGTGAGTGTAGCTCAAGAGATGCTGAGTACGCTTTGGGAGGACAGACTACCCAGACATTTAACACCTAAACTGCAGATATATTACACAGAGTGCAGGAAATGCAACATTTCTCTAAATAGGTGACACGAAGACAGTAGAGCAGAAGCACAGACACTCAGGCTACCCTTCTGCAATGCATTAAGATCCAACTCCAGGATGGAGACAAGCGTAAGCTCAGACTTTAAAAAAAATAAATAAAAAATATAAAAAATCAGCAAAACCAAATCATTCTTCCCTAATTTACTTCTCAAGGCTGTTGTGACTGATTATTTTTAGGTCAATATGAGGCTCACGTAAGAAACAGCAAAAGGCTAAACAAACTTACTATTCAGTCAAGCTGCCTTCCATTTAACCTCTCCCCCAAATGAACAATAAAACTGTAATATAATGGTAAGTGTTGGCCAGCTTTAACACCCGGCACCACATTCGGTCCCAGTTCTATTGTGCAGTGAAGGCTGTTTTCCTTACTGATGTGTTCAAACCGTCTGCCATGAATTACTTTTTCATGGGGAATAAATACACACTTAAACAAGATTAAACACAAATGTTCTTTAGTGGTGTCTAAAATAATATGAATGTTCTTTAGAACAGCAATAAACACACTTCATGATGCAAATAATTACACCCTACAGCCTTTATCTTTACATAAGCGGCCAGATTTTCACTCAGCTACTTCACTGTAAACCCAATATAACTACACTGAATCAACATCTCTCTCCGTGGACTCCAGAGATGCTGAAGTGTTACTAAACTCTTGATCTGCCCTACCTCAGTGGCAAAAGCTTTGCAGACATGGGAAGTTCATGAATAAAAGTCTACATGATGGTAATGGAGGCACCACTGTTCTCTTAGCCTACCCCTTATTTCCCCATATAGTTTGGGGTAATTAAGTCAGACTGTGGCTGTGCACTCCTTAAGCACCTGATATCAATTCTGATTCTCAGTTAGGACCACAAGACAGTTCCATAGAGGCTACAGCAAGGAAAAGAGAAGGAAAAAAGGAGAGAAGGACTACATACAAATTTATGATGAGTGAAGAAAAGAAGTGTACGATGGGCTTGGAGTCAAAGATCTGTCTCCTGGGGATTAAGAAGTACCACCTTGTTTAATCTTTCTGTAGGATGGGAAGGATTAGCTCATGTTCTGAACTCTTTCTGAAAAGTTAAAATTAGCTTGAATTTCTCATTCATTTGTAAACTTGACATAAAGCTTTGCAAGACGGGTCTGTAAGGCTTTGATGACCCCTGAAACACGTCTGCAATGGAGAACAAGTCCATATTGGACAGCTTGAAAAATAAATTATTTACATAAAAATTACAGCAACAAAAATGAATTCAGTTATTAAAAGGGTTTCCAGAACTTCACAAGCACAGAACTTAGCCACAGCATGGCATCAGTTTTAAATATTTTCTTCCTATTTGCTCTCATTTTTGCATCTTGAAAGCAAACATTCTGCTCTTACCGGGACTTGTGAGGGCTCCCAGAGCACCAGTCGTTGTGGAGAGAGGATTTGCATTGGTGGTAGTAGCTGAGGTTTGGGCGGCGGCTGCTGCAGCTGCTAAAGTTGCCAAATTCTGTAATTGTAAAGCGTTCATGCCTGCGTGGAGAAGCAATAGAGTAAATTAAAAAGTGCCATAAAAAACAACAACAATGACAAAACCCAAAAAAACCAATAAACTATTTTCAATGGGTGTATCTTGCCATGAGATTCAGTTCCTTTTACTCCCAAGACAGTTATAATCTGGGAGCCACTTAAAGTCCCCAGATAGCATCTCTCACCTTTCTGCTTTCATAGTCAGAGAATATGGCAATGGCACCAGCCTACAGTTAGGAAAATTAAATCTGGTTGGTGTCACTTCGATAAGGGAAGAGTGGAATTAGAAGTCATTTAAACTCTGTGTGAATCCCAGGAGCAATACTATTCCCTGACACAACAGGGGGTGTAATGAAGATAACTTAACATTTAAAACACATTCAATATAGGGTCATATAATTAGGATGAATATAATTTGTTTCCCGTGTCCCATCTGAGTGTATCTACTAAGACTGCACTGTGCAGTAGCCAATAGTTGCACTGATTTTCCTTTGGATAGTTCATTTCTAAAACCACGTATGTATTAAAAGCATCAAATTAGTATCAGACTGATCAAAGAACCATCACTGAAGCGGAGACTTTCAGACCATAAGCTCTACATTGTGATAACAAGAGTACTCAGTCAGCTGTTACTTCATTATTTCAGAAGATATGGGGGAGGTACACCTGCATTTCAATGAAGATCTTCAAGAAATGCACTCGTTTAAACAGCAAAGGATTTAACTTAGATGGTGAGTTACAAAGGAAAAACAATAAATACAAATTATGTGAAATGGAAAAAAAGATGAACAAGGAACAGCAAATGGCATTCATTTGACTTAAATCAGAGCAATGCTAGTCTCTTTTAAGGCACCTACCTTTTAGATTGGACTATGCCAAGTACTTAGGCCCTTATTCTACAGAGGACTGTTTCAGTATGAGATTTTAACACAGATACAAGTTAGGTGCTAATATTAATCAGATTGGATCCTTCTCAGAATCCTATGGATAAGATGCAACTGTCCAAAGGGGTGATCACAAGGCTGAATACCAACATACTGGCATGGAAGAGATTTTTTGGATGGCAGTATGAGTTTACCAAGTTGGTTTGGACATAAGAGATCTCCACGTTTGAGCCCTTGGTAGAATTGAAAAAGCAGACATAGACCATAAAATAGACCATAAATCATAATATTAGTTATATGAAGCTTATATGAAGAGTAATACTTTCTTTTGGATCAAATGACAGAGCTGAGAGGACTACCTGAGTTTTGGTGAATGTTCAGAGAAGAGCTCAAGTGCCTGAAAACTCATTCTTTTCTTTTCTCTTCTTTTCTTTTTTTTTTTTTTGAACGTTAGCTTGTCTAACAGGAGAGAGATATTACTTTGTGCACATTTTGTTTCTTATACCACATGAACCTCATATCAGCTTGGAGAAGAAGAAGAAAAAAAGGAGCTCAAACATAAGGCTTTGTAAGCATGTTTGGAAAAGGAAAAAACGAAACAGAGAGGCATTTTTTTTGTGTGAATTTGGTCCTCAGGTACCTTTTACTTTCCTCTTTTAAAAGAAATACAAGTAATACAGCCTAAAATATCCAGCAGACATTGTTCATCTTCACAGAGCCCCTTTTTCATGCCACTCTGTAATGAACATTTGATAAAGCAGTGGGTTGGCTCTTCGACATGGCAGCATGGATTTCTATCACCCTCTGGTAAGTAATTCATCAGTAGGATCAGTCATAATCAGCTATTTCTTCTGTGGTGAGGTTTCCACTTCCAACTTTTAAACAGCACATACAGCAGGATTAAATAACAGTGAGCAAATCACACAGAACAGTACAGGAGCTTCCTCAAACCAAATCCCACATGCTTCTGGAAAACGTGTGGACCTTTCTCTAAACATCAGTTTGGAAGGAAATAGATTCATAAGCAATTTAATACTGCTTTCTTTATTGCATTTCATATACAAGGCTTTGTGCACGCATGCAAAGCTGAAGACTGTAGCAGCAGAGACACTGTGAGCACAGATGGATGGGAGCTGGAAGGCAATGTACATACATTGTACAGCACTCAAGGAAGTGGGAAAACAAGGTCAAGAGGCAGTGGAACAAGCAACATCTCTCTTGGGCCCTGCATGTCACTGTTGTGCCTGTGTGGATGCAAGACTAACACCAGCACTGCATCATCGTGAAAAGCATTATTTTATAGTGGGACATTTCCCATGCAAGGACAAGAAGGATCCGTCAAATTGAAGAAAGAGTTTCTACGCCAAAAGGAGATTAATAAACAAGTGAGGCGGTGACGGAGTTGTTTCCCCACCCAGTCTGTTTGAGCACGGAGGTGACTAAAAGACACTGGCCACAAACCAGCTCTGCAGATGTTATGGGGTGTCATCTACAGTGCCTTTAGGAAAAAAAAGCAACCAATCTGCCTGCTGCTGTCATGAGAAGGAGCCCAAAGAGCCCCACTGCACCGAGTGCCTCGGAGCAGCTGTCAGCAGTAGCTCGGAGCACATGTGGTCACCCTGTATGCCCTATAGCTACTTGTGTCAGCCATTTTATCATTTAATACACGACCTCTTTAGGTTTCATTCATTTTGCTCCAACTTTCAAAAAAAACCCCAAACTCTTGTCATCACAGTTTTATGTTCCCTAGGCAGTTTATAGTCTCTCCCTTCATTGGCTTTGCCCATCAACTTGACAAGTGCGTCAATATCCCACTTGCTAGGACAAAATTGGAGAAGGGAAACCAAATACTCTCAAGTTCCAAATCCAAAATGTACTTTCCTTTCAAATAGGGATTTTGATTCAACTGAACTTCAGCCAAGGTATAGTTATTTGGGACTAATCTGCTCGGTCATTCTCTCCTTTTTCGCACACAGTCTTCACACATCCTGCAACTTTTTTAAAACAGTCCCAAATCCTGCAATGGAGCTGGACTGAAAATGAGTAAATCGTTCTCATTTGAAAGTGCTGCTCACTCAGCAAATGCACCTCTCTCTGAAGAAATGCAAATCGCCTAACGCTGAAGAGCAGCCTCACAGGCAGAGTTACACATGAAAAATGGAAGTCCCCCTGTAGGGAAAAAACATTTCTGGGCAAGGAATAACTCTTGATCTTCATGATAGAGACAATGTTGGGAATTAAAGTGAAATGATAAAAAAAACAAAACCCAACAGAATCACAATACAGTTTGATTCCATTTTTAATAACATGTATTTACCAATGTGCTATTAGCTTGGCAAATAATCAAAATTGCAAGGAAATTCAACTTTCATTTTGCTATTTGGCAGATTAAAAAAACAATTAAATTATGTACAAAACAGATGCACGGTATGCCTTGCTTGAAACTTAAGATTTTTTTAAAAATTATTTATAAGGATAGGGGCATGAAAATTTAATTTAATGTTCACCTTAGGTAATTTTGTGTCTTATTGTTCACAGCAATTACCATAAATCTACATATCAATAAGCAAGAACAGATGTCAGTTGTTACAAGTGCTTGCCAATCAGGCCTGTTAAAAAGTGACAGATGGATGGTGATAGAACATTCTCATAAGGCCTATTAGCACATTCGCAGGAAATTTTTGTAGTGCTGCACAGTCACAGATGCAGTACTGTGAAAACACGGGGAAATTTGAGAGCACGAGATTTATATTCTACAACTCCTTGCTCTGCCTCCGACACAAACTTTCATACAATGAGGCAATTTGCCTCGTTTCAGTCACCGCAGCTTTTCTCCTGTGATATCTGTAAATTTGAAATTATTGGGTTATTTGCAGAGGAGGCAGCAGAATCACAAACTATTCCTGAAGTCTTCCGAGATCTCTTCAGATCTGGGCTTCCAAATATCATAGTAAGATCATATTAGGAAATAGCTTAATTTGCTTGCTGAACAAATGCTGATAAAGCACTGACCATGTTTTAGAGACAAGATATGCACAGAGAATTTCAAAATCGGTGATGATTATCAGAGTTGAATCTGAATCACCCATAAGCAGTTTCCAATAGTTTGACCTCTGCTGTTGCCTATCTTTCTTTGGAAAACGTATCTATCCCAATTATAAGGATTTATACCTTCTGAATTATATTCTGACTGCAGCTTAAAAATTGTGGATTAAGGTAAAATACCTTAATCATTTCTAGGCCAAAAAGCATCCTTTTCCTGGCACTGATACCAGCCATTCTGGATGCTTATGTTAGAATCTGGGGGAAAGTCTTTTCAGGTTGAGTCTGAAATTGCAATGTTACTCCAGCAATATTTAAAGAATTGAAAGGGACAGGAGACTGTTACCTCCATTAAATCATATATACGGTGTGCCTACCTTTAGAAAAGCTGCTTATCTCAGAAGTGCTTAAGGTATCCTGACTACTTACTGTTTGACCTAGGAAAGCCCCTAAAACAACTTTTAAGTCCATATTGGATTCTACCCTGGTAATCATGTTATTTAAGAATACATGCTTAAATCCGACTGAAAGTTAGAACCATTGGTTGACTTGCACAGGATTTCAGTCCGTTACCAAGTTACACAATCTCTTAACGCATTCCTGGCATGAAATGTGCTTTTTTCAATTGAAAATTTCCCAGTCTTACTCGGAGAGATCCATCTGATCTAACTTCACGAGAATTAAAGTTGCCCGGCCTTTTGTTACAGTCAAGGGAGAGAGTGTGAACGATTGGTCCTAAAATTCATTGAATTAAAGTAGGTAAGACTAACAAGGTAAAATGACTTGCTGCCTAGGATTGAATCCTCTCCACTGACATTATAGGGAGTCTGGATGCCCAATTTCCAAGCTGCTGGAGGTCAGTGAGATGACTTCCAATCTCAGAGAGGCCAAGGGAATCAAAAGCCTCTCTCCTTCCTTCTGTTGTTTCTTGAAAGCCTAGCCAGATCTACAGATCTTGCATCCAGACTTGGCCAAACTCCACATCACATGCTTTCACCATGTGAATAAGCACATCTCGTAAGTTGCGGAGCCTTGGTTTTAATCTCAAGGTGCTTCTTCTTCTCCTATGAACAGGAGCTACGTGTGGATTGGCAAGAGCCACACTTTCTTCATAACTCCAAGAATGCTAAATCAAATTGTTTAATTTCTTACCTTCAAAGAATTGCAAACTGTAGGGGTTAAATTAAGGACTTTCAATGGAATTAGTATTACAAAAGCTCAATGCTTTCAGTCCCTGAGGTCAACATTTTCAAAACTAGTAGTTATCTTTAAGAAACAGCTATCTCCCTTGAGCTGGAAAGAGTTTCTCGTTGACCTTTACTTTTAATATGATATCCCTAAAGAGGTCAGAGCAGAAGTCCTCCTTCAGTATGGCTCTGCTGGAATGAAGCCACCAACGAGTCAGAGGATATAAAGGATCCTTGGGCCAATGCAAAAGTATAGAGCTTTTGTGCAGATGGCCCTTGGCTTCCAACTGGTCCCTCCAGATCCACTGAGCCAATACAACAATTAGAGGGAAATATTCAGAAAGCAGAATCTCACAGAGTTTCTCTCACCCATCTGCTCCTACAGACTCTGCAACAGGAGGAAATCTGGCTTGGGTTGCAAAAGAAGGGTGAAATGAATTGAAAAGGGCTCAGAATGGGCCAGAAGTTCATCCCAAAATGCAACAAAACTGTGAGAGAGTTTGGAATGCACTTGAAACAAAAGAACATACATTGAGAAAGTATAAAAAGCCCCAGCTGTAGAGGATTTAGGGGTCTGAAAAGCCAAAAGCATGGATTCTACTCCTGCATGACTTCAGAAAGCAAAACACACTGGCTGTCTACTGAAATTAAGAGAATTCCTTTGTGTTTTTAATGAGCTCTGCACATATTTATGTTCTCTGAATGGTCATATACACATGAAATATTTCTGCATGAGAAAATGTTTATTCCAGCCAGAGCATTAATAGATGATAGAAAATCTTCATAAATAATATAATTTGGGGACATTCAAATTTTCTACAGTAATCCAGTAGAATATAAAATCCTCTGTGTTTACACTGTCTGTATAGTATTTCCCAGGTTCTTCTTACACAGGCAGGTTCACTTAAAAATCTGCTGTTTTTTGGATGCAACTCAATGCCAGCCAAATTCAATACAAACATTCAAGCGACATCCATCATCTTTGAACTATGTCTTCCACGCACTTTGTACATATTTGAAGAAGGATTTTTTTTTTTTCTTGAACGCTTGCTAGCGCTTAATGCAGCTTCCATTGTCTTTCTAAAATAAGACAATCAAATAATATAATGAAATTCATCCACATTATTAGCCTTCCCGAAAGACAAAACAAAGGCTAGACATTGAAGCTTGCAAGGTATGTGAGGGAAAACACCATCTTTAAATTAGCATTAGCAGATATTGGAGGAGGGAAGAAAAGCAAGGAAGTACTCATTATAAAATATACACTCAGTGATGGTATGTGCTTACATGTTTTACAAAGAGTGATAAAGCAGAGTTTGGCAAGGTAGGGTTAGCTCCTGTTATCAGGACTGGGGGATTATTATAATAGTCAAGGCAACACTGCCAACTCTCCTAATCTTTTTTTTTTTTTTACCAATCTTGACATATTACACTGTTTTCTTTGGTTTGGCTCCTGAAATAAAATGATTTCATGAAAATCTCATTTTTCAATAAAAATGAGAACATCTAAGCTAGGGAATTGAGTGTGGAACCTTAAGGCTTGGAAAGCTAAATGGCAACCTACTGCTTGTTGCCTTTCAAATTCAAATATTACACATTTTAGTGAGGCCAGTATCATGATTTACTTGGACATCACAAATAATTTATGAACACAGGGCAAAGGAAACACAGAACACACAATGGTGCCAGTAGGCTGCTACAGCAAGAACAGGATTCACTTTTGGAGCTGATGTTTTGTTTGTTTAATGTTTGTATGCTAGTGAGTTCTTGAGACAAATCCTCATTTTTCTTTGGATCTGATCCCTGTCTTTTAAACAAGCTCCAGTTGCCTTCAACTAAAAATGCCTATGCAAACATCCCTTCCAATAAAACCAAAGATATAAACCATAAAAGCATAAAAATTAATTTAACTACTCTGAGGCTCTGCTTGCAAAGAAAATTGCTTGTATTTAAGAAATACTATTCCTGAGGAAATACTTCTTTATGTTTATACACATGTATAGAGTGTGTGCTGTGTACCTTCTGCGTAGCTCAGAGAAGACATGAGCTTTAGCAGTACAAGCTAATACCTGCAGATTTGGAGGTCCTTAATTTTGGATGAGAGGGCAGCTACATTAAGTGTCCCACCTTAGCAAACTGCGACTTTGTCGGGACTTCTGCACTCAAGAGGCACTAGGGCCCTGACACATAAGTAAGAGTGAGAATTCCACAGCTTCTGTGGCTTTTCATCAAACTTTTAGTGCCTAGATTGAGTGGTAAGCACACTCACTGACTTCAAAGACAAAAGCCTGACCCCTCAAACACACTGCACGTGCTTGAATAAATTCTGGTGTGCAGAACTACTCAAGCATGCAGATTCTGTCTTTACTTATCCTGAGGAATGCCTAACCCTCACCATTAAATTCAGCACAAGAACCAGAACAAATATTTGACTGTAAGCACATTTTTTAGCTCAAAGAACATGCAAGTATCAATAAGCTATCTTCTTAGCATCTTACTCAGTCATGTGTAGACTTTAGTCTTCAACTTGAAATATTCTATTAATAAGCAAGCCATACACAATGTGAAAAATACATATTGGATTCATTTTTTTTGCAAAATGAATGCAAATAGCTTAAGTTAAAAAACTCCGGGCCTTTATGCTGCATTGTGGGATGTGAGAACAAACATTCAAGAATAGCTTCAGCAGGCAAGACCTTGCTGGAGACACTGGAGCATTTTCTATTCCTTCTATAAAACACACCAGGTGAGTCTTTAGTACTGAGTGCACAGCGTAACACAGCACTGAAGATAAAGTCCTGGATAATTTTTGATTTCCAAGGAGAGAACATGAACTCTTGGTCCTAACAGTGAAATAACATTTAGTCTTTTGTGCTTATTGGTGGAGCTATAGCTTGAAGAGAAAATTTAATATCACTAATTTGATCTTCAGCAGTAAGGTTTAAGAATTACATGTTTTGGGGAAAGAAAGAAGTAAATTTAGAGCAGTTTTTATAATGAATATAAAGTTAAAACTGTTTTGCAGGAGAGGCAGCCAGTCATTAAATCATCCCATATCTGAGCACATTAGCAATCTAATCTTTAGTTGAGAAGGTACATCCCTCAAGTAAAAGCACTATGCTTCTACAACTTCTTTATTAGCCTCAAGACCATATGACTTTCAGAGAATAAATCCTGGATTGAGAGCCCATTCTAAAGTTACTTGACTAAAATTTCTAGTTTTGACACAGTTGTTTGAGACAAGACTGAATCTACACTACCTGGGAGAAAAAGGCAACAGAAAACTTCCAAGGTGCACATAATGTAATAGAGATTGCATTATTTTTCTTCAGTGTCTCAATTCTTTCATTTTGCAGTCTTAACCAAATATGAAAACATTAAACACAATCTCTGAGCTCAAAGCCACTTCCAAAACTGCCAAGTATAAAACTATTACAGGATTGCTCTGTTCTGTTTATCATATTAAGATACATTTTTAGATGAAAAAAAAAAAATAAATGCTAGATTGCAAGTGTAACATAATAGAACCAGCAAGCACTGCCAGCAGGTCTGAGGAAGAGAGAATAATTCAGAGATATTGTCATCTGTAGGCCAATTTATATTGTCAGACAGCAGGTTCGCATTAGTCTCTGATGTCACTGCAATAATGGCATAATGTAACGATTGAGCAAAGAATACCTGTGGGGTACAGCAATGCTGTGTGGTAGATCTGTACTTGTTAAAGTATTTCAGGATTCATTCAAAGCCGAATCAGAAGCAAAAGACGAGGATTAGAAGAAGAGTGAGCAAATGATGTTCAGAAAGGCTTGTGAATATTTTAGTCTTTGTTTCGTGATGATGAAGCAAGCACAATGTTGTATGCTATTGATTCAGTGGGTTCATGATTAAAACAAACTAATGCAGCAATTTGGGGGTTTTGTGCTTCCCTTTTTTTTTTTCCCTTCTAACAAGAAAAAAAAAAAAAGCTTTTTAACAGTCTCTCGCGGCGGGCATAATGTGCATCTGTGCTCTGATTTACTGCACATGCTGCCTTCTCCAGCATCATGTTAAGTTAGGGTATCAGCATGGTAGGTCACACAGTGGGAGCGACCTTTTGCTAATCACTACACATCAGTTACTACTGGCACGCAGCTCATTACTAAGAAACCCTCCAACGAGCTGGCTTTCAAATATGCTCAGACTTTGATTTTTTTTCCTCTTTTATTTCTTTTTCTCTTTCTTTTTTTTTTTTTTTTTCCCCCTCAGACTAAAGATTATACTTTTACATAAAAGCTTCTGTTGTGTAATTTTGTCAACTAGGGTTCCAAAGTCAAAAAGGCACCCAGTTAATTTTCCATCATTATAAAAGGAGCCTGAAAATCCATACTGAAGGTAGGCCTGTAATCTTGGGTTTCATTAAAAAGGTCAGAACATTTTTACTCACCACCTATTATTAAAATGTTTGAGGACTGCCATTAATTTGATTTTTCAGGACACAGAAATCTCGCTGGAAATGAGAACGTAATCCTGCTGTTGCTTTACTGACACTTTTCACAGGGAAGGATACAGCTGCAGGGACCAAGAGCTTTCCTGCAATTTACAATCGGTTACTTTGGACAAATGGCAGGTGACTAATGCAAGACAAACTGTTTGCTCAACCTGGGAGCACTGGGTTTAATTTCAGTTTTTGAAAGAGGGGAGAAAGTGTTTCTATTGACGTTGAACCGTGAGCTGTCCCCTGCCAGTACATCTGCCACATTTAATACACAACAGCCCCCCCGCCTGACAATGTGATTATTAGAGATGCAGAATTTGATAGCTAAAGAATACAAAACATAGCTGGAATAGAATGAAATGGTTTTCAACTTACCGGCCATTTGCTGAATGCCGCTGAAGGCACCCAAGTTACTGGAGGAAGTTGCTTGCTGCAGAAGCTGCAAATTAACAACACAAAACAGCAATCTATCTGACATTAGTGTAACAAATGAAGATAAAACTAAAACGAGAGATCATTTCACATTTGGAGTATTTATGCTTTCCTTTACATTTATATAGTCTCTTGCTTCTGCCTATTGTTGGAATGAACATCCCTAGAGTCAATGCTGTAAATCCATATTAATGTCTAATCTCTATTAAGAAACACAGAGGCACAAGGGAAACTCAATAACATTGCTGCTTTAAAACAATTAATCAATTTATTCTTTTTAACAACCAGGTGTTAAATCTATTTAAACCAACATAGCGTGACTAATTACAACCCTCTGTAGTCTAGTAGTTACTATAACTCATCTCTGTCAATCACGGTCCATTCTCCACCACCCTCTTGAATTCAGTTTTTTCTTTATTACCTATATGAATCAAGTACACAGATACTCATTAGACTGGTATTTGTATACAGCAATTTAGCCCACCTTAGTATTAATTAGCCTACCTCAATACCAATATATATATTTAATTGCTGGGTAAATTGCTGTTTATCATTATATCACTATACCAACACATTGTATGCATACAAATTATGCACATATGCGTATACAGTACAGATGTGGACTGTACATCTGTTTGTCTAGCTCAGAATCATCAGGAGCTCCCCAAATTATCGGAAAGCTGCCCAGCCTGTACACTCAACTCCAGAGCCATAAAAAGCAGAAAACCCTTCCAGCCATGCTGCAAGAGAGACTTGGCAACCCAAGACCTAAGACACACAGCTGTGTATTTCAGCTTTCTCCATCAGGGGCAGCAGCTAGCACTTGTTTTTCGTCTTACATATAGATCAAAGAAAATATCATTTTAAATTTATGAGAGACAAATTGCTTTCCTCTGCCACCTTCCCTTCTGTAAAAGATAGTATGAACCACGTGTGTTTAGCATTGATGGGACCATGCATTAAAGTAAAAGTAATTTCAAGATGAAAATATGTAAAATTAGAGCACTGAACCACAACATCCTAGTTTAGAAGCTGCACCATACAGATACGGACTGTACAGTGTTGTGTTCAGATGCCTATCTGTCTTCCCCTAAGGAATAACTTAAATTTTATTCCTGCAATGAATAACAGAATGTAATGTTCAAAAGAACAATAAAACTAATGGAGTAAAATTTTATTTTGCAGCACGAGTAAACTTTAAATGCTTGCCTTGGACAGCAGTGATGCATTGAAATGTTTATTCAAATTTTATTCTTTCCTATTTATTTTTAAATCATGCAATAAACATGCAAAGTTGTTTTTTTTTAATGTAGAAGTAGACAAACTATATGTCCTGCAGAATTTAGCATTCCAGTGAAGGAAGTTTACTACTGCTGATTTTCATGGGTCTAAAATAAATACAGCATGCTATAGGTGCACCACCTCTGATGTGAACTTACAGCTAGATATTGTGGTGTGAGTCCTCCAAGACCCGTGAGGTTTCCCCAAGTGGCAGTATTGAGCTGTTGCATCTGCTGTGCCAACTGCTGCTGCAAACGCCGCTGCTCTTTGTCCTTTTGGGTATCAGCAAACTTCACCACGATTGGCGAAGAGCAGCCCTGTGGTTAGACAGATCGGGAAAAAGAAGTGTTAAATCACACTGAGCCAACTCTGCACCATGAGCTCAGCCACATCCCTTAGGGCCGCTGGCAATGGCACGACCTGATAGCTTTCCTTTCTTTGTGACTGACATGTGTAGGACCACGAGGACTAGGATTTTCAGCTTCTCAGGAAAAGAGGCTGTAAAGAAATTATTGATTCCCTATTTCTTTTTATAAAGCATCCTTCCTCAGGCTCTCTTTTCCTTCCAGCTATCAAAACTGCTGCCAGAGACAGCAAGTGTACCAGTCCTCTTTAATTAAGCTTCACAGCTGATGAGATGGACATGTTGCTTTGTCTGCAGTCTGTTTTCAAGGCATCGCCAAAGGGAGAGGTGTCCAACCTCCCTGCTGCCAATGACCACGCAGCCAACACAGCCCTGCCACACGGGCTCCCTGTGCTCAGTGCAGCTGTCTTGTCTACCCTAAATAAATAGGCCTGAGAGCATCGGATTTACTGCAGCACCCACCAGCAATGGGTCATTGGTTCCTTCCATATCAAGAACCTGGGATGAACACAAAGGGCCATGCTATGAGGACAACTCACCCACCTGCAGCTCCTGGGCACACTTAGTGTTGAGCACCCTTGAGGTGTGAACAAAAGGCAGGATGTGCACCAAAACTGACTACTTCTGGTGGATTAGCCCATTCCTGATTGACACCACTCTTATAGGTTTTATTCTATTTTCCTATTGTTTCAATGAGCCTCTTGTTACATGATATCGGAAGGCTCCAAGACCCTCTAGGAAACAGACAGTAGGAAAGAACTTGAGATCTGGTTTGCAGCCTGCTCCTCACCCATCTCAGGGATCCTTGAGAAGCTGTGGACTGGGTGGGCTGTTGAGGGACCTAAGCATTTCCCTTGGACCTCAGGTTGGGTATTCTTGGGCAAAGTTGCTGAGAGAACAAGACATGTGAATGTGAAAGATGTCCCTGTTGCTCTCACTGTATTTTTTTTTTTATCCCCACTATCAGATGTTTTCATATTTTAACCTTTTTAGGCTTCATTTTTTCAAATCAAGAGAACAAACTATGTACTGCAGTGATTCAGTTCTTAATTCAGGCATTTTGTGAGTCACGGTAGCTGCCAATCCATTCATTACTGTTTTCCAACTACAGGAACCAATGAATAACTTCCCTCTACCTGCCATGCTTTATTATACTAATTTTGTGCCTACCTTCAATTTGAACATAATGGTAGGAGTGAAAGATGACTCAAGTCCAAAAAAGACAGCAGCATTTGAGCCAACATGTGCAGTGTGGGATGGGGAGGGGGGTTATTCTTAGCCTAACTCTTCCCATGACTGCTCTCACAACATTGTGAACATCTTCAGCAAAGTTTATTTCCTCTATAATCTACAGAGAACAGTTGAGTACCTTTCCTCTGAAGAACCTCACACCAGGACAAACGCTAAGAACATTCAAAATCAACAGACAAAATGATGAAATAAACCGCAATAATAATATCTCTTGTATGAAGATCTCCCATCAATACTTTTCCTTTAGAATTATCTTAGAAAATCATCACTTGTGATTTATTATTCCACCCTCCAATTCCTTCCCTGTGTGTTTCATTGTAAAACTGTCTTTCAGTGTTTCAGCAAGAAAAAAAGGAGATATGTACCACTCTAGCAATCAAATAAAGATTATGAAAGAGTCAGCTTGTTATGAAATTACATCTCTTCAGTGATTTTTACACTGGTATTAAAAATAAGGTTCTTTAAAAAAAAAAAAAAAGGGAGCTGGGGGTGGGAGAGTGTGAAAGAAATTTTTCTGCTTCAACTAATAAAAAAGCAAGCTGTACTGTATTTAATATGAGCTTTGGTAGCATTGGGCTAATCAAAACCAGAACTTACTGACTGCTACCTAGATGTACAGGGGAATCAAATCCACTTGCAAAGAAACAGAACTGAATTTTAAAGGAAGAAATATTCTATGGCTATTTCAGTTCTCAGTTCAGCAGCTCAGCACTCGACACTACAGCTGACATATTTATGAATGCTTAAATGTCAGTAAATTGTATAAAAACAATATCTCTGCAATTTATGAATCTATAATTCATTTTTTTTCACTGTCTGCTCTATATTTCATCACTTCATCATTTTCAAGAGAGCAAACATTCTGAAGACTGAAATTATATGTAGCAAGTGGCTCTATATGAGAAAAGGGTTGTTATTGTTGCATCAAATTTACTCCATGATAACAAATTAGTGTCTTCTACTGGTACTGCATTTCAATGCCTTAAACAAACAAACAAAACCCACGGAAATGAGATAGAAGAATAGAAACTCAGAGCAGCAGTTATGCATTCAAGATCAGTTGATTTAACCAGGTCAGAAAGTCAGATGCAAAAAGTAGTAAAAGAACTCATTATTTTAAGAGATATATTCATCTGGACATTAACATCCCCACTGTTCTTTCTTTACCCACTTTGAAAATACATGTTGGTCAATAATGTGTGACAAGGAAGCAAAAATAATGAAATCAGAAAAAAAATCTGCAGTAGTTAAGTTGATGTGACTGTGTAATACATATTCTCCCAAAGCCCATCTATTTTTTTGCATTCAATGTGAAACAAATGCATCCAAGGACCACTGTTTCAGGCTGAGAGGCAAGATTTAACGCTAGGTAATGTAAGTTAACTTTTTAGTAGAAGAGCATTGGCTCTTCTACTTCATGCTTTATGCTTTTCCATTTTCCATCTTGAAGGTCCCATCACACACACAAGGTGCATCTCCCTTTCTCATTCCATGGCTCGGCATTTGCACCCCATTAGTGCAATTTTACTCCTGACAGCTGGTGCTGCCTTCGTATTTTTCTTTTTGTTGGCAATACAGTGTACAGACTCTGTTCAGCCCATCACCTCTGGAGCTGGAGGGTGTACTGCTTCTCTCCAGGAAGGGACTCCCAGCCTAAGCTCAACTGGCACAAAGACCCAGATGTTCAAAGTGCAAAATACTTGGAACTGCTTTGCCTTGCCAGTTTGGGGTTCTCATTGATGATAACTCTAAAGATATTGAGATCAAAGACTAATTATTCTATAGAACTGAAGTAAGCAGGAGCATTATAACAAAATGCAGCCTCAGTTGGAGCACTGCAATTAACAGAAGAATGGATGAATTTGTCTGGGATGTATTATCTCTTTAATGTTATCATCTTCTGAGGTAGACCTGTGTAAAATTCATCTTGCTAGACAGAAAAATACATTAAAGCACATGGAAAAAATATAGGTAAAAGACAATATTACCAATAAACATTTTCTTTTTACAAGGAATCAAACCCAGCAAAATATATAGATCTGAATTAATGGAGCAGTGCATGGCAGACAAATTACTATGAGTGTTATTTCAAAAACTCAAAGTGGCAGTTTTTCCACAATATACTGTCAGACTGCATATATCATATAGCATTGGCTTTCTAGTAAAGATAATTTCAAATACTCTTGTCTCATTAGAAGATTCTCATCTAAAACTGCATACTTAGGGTCTAAAAATGCATTGCACTGAAAAGAAAAACACATCAATTATAAAATAAGCTCAACCAAATTCAAACGTGATGCTTGGAGAGACAATAGCTTTGCAATGCCAGTATCATTACTCGTAGTATACAGGAAACAGTTAGTGACATTTTCATGCACTGCCTTCTTTTTCCTTTGCCTTCTCGTCCTCTCTCCACCCTCCCACCCCTGCTCTTCCCCCCCTGGCTCGTTACACAAAGCAGCTAACGACATGACGCAATAATGATTGTTTAGCACCCCGCATGCTTTGGGAGACTAGAGCATTGCAAAGAAAAATCACTGAGAGAAATCGAAAGGTCCTGGTGTAAAAAATAAATAAAAAGAAACAAGTGCACATAACATCAATGCCACCTCTGAGAAAAATCATCACTACACGAAGATACAGTATACATAATACAGTATAACATGCACTCTCCAATGATAAGCTAGAAGATCCAGAGTAAGTAAAGACTTAATACTTGTGCGGTTTTTTGTGCAAAATTCTGAAAGACCATGACAAAAATCACAGACTGACAAAAATTTGAGATTGCCAGACAAGCCGTGGCACTTGATCACCACTCCAATGACCGGATCGTTAGCCTGCTGCTGGATTCACGTTAAGTGAATGGGTTTCAAGTTTTGTATTGCTCATTGTTACAAAATATGAGGCCGTAGAGGCAATGTGGGAGGAGATAGATCTTGAGAGGGGCCAGGCACAGCGGTGCTCCGTAGGAAGCTTCGATATGCTCTGTCATCATTAGCATTTTTATCGGCTTTATGAAGAAGGAGAAATTATATTGGCTTAAAAAGAGATTCTATTTGCAGGAAAACACATGCACTAGTAACTCAGTGTGGCCATGTTAAATCACTTGAGCTTTTTCTCAGAGCAGCGCAAACCAGAACACTTAAAAATCTATTTAAAGGAAACTACGATTTTTTTGGGGGGGGAGGTGTTAATATTAAAGGTAATTTACTCATTAGATACACTCTTGAGAATGAGTGAAGAGTGGTATTCACAGCAATTTTATTTTCTGTGAATGCCACTGAAAACAGGATACAGAGCTGTGTTTGGATACTGCAACGTGATTGTGTGCTTCCAGGCCGCTAAGAAAAACACGTTTGACAAGGAGAGGTAGAGTGAGTTGGCAAAAAGTTTAAATCTGTGATTGTCATGTGTCTGATCTGGTCCAGGAGAGCATGGCTTTACCATTCGCAATCATTTGCACAAAGAAAACAAAGAAAGGGCAAATGATACAGTACTGTACCTCCATGGTCTGAGACTGGTGCATGGCTTTGATTGCATTCTGTGCCATTGCCCTTGTAGAAAATGTGACAAACGCACAGCCTGTGGGAACAAGGGGACAGGGAGCAGGAAAGACAAAAAACAACAAGACAAAAGGGTTGGACGCTTGTTAAACCAACACAGTCTACGAGAACGGCCACAAGACGACACTGTTCTCAGTAGTACATAAAAATAAACAACTTCTCTAGTTTATTTATCGACAGTGCTGACTTGCTAATCTGACCATAGATGAAAGAAAAAAAAATTAGGTGGGATGGGTGAGGAGAAAAGGGTTGTTTTTTTTGTTTTTTTTTTTTGGTTTGTTTGGTTTTGTTCTTTAGCCACAGGGTTTGACATACTTAAGGCTTTTTTATGCCGAGTTTGGATTGCATAGTTTAGTCCATTTGGGCCCTGTATTAATAGCTGCTTGCTATGGCTTTTGTGTTGGTAAATATTGGACAGTGAATAAACTGGCATCACTGGCAGCTGAGCTGAGAATTTAAAGGAGTCCATAATGTCACTTACATATTTCCGTGATGCACCAAGGAGAACCATACAAGTAAGGATGAGAAAAACTCGACTGCAAACCTTGCAACTAAAAGACTCAGACAAAATTCAGTAACGTAGGTGGAATCTCAACATTTAAGAAAATAACATATTAAGAATAAAAATCTTTATGATTTTTGCTTCTCAGAGTCCTAGGTACAAGTATAATTCTTTGATCTATGAAAGCTACCAAGAGCTTGAACAATTCAAAAGCTGTGTGCATGAATAACTAAAAAATCACTTTTCTCCCTCTATAGCCTTTTAAATCATAATGAAAAGCCAGTAGGCGAATGCCTGGGCTATTTTTCCACTCTTTTACTATTGTCAGTCATACCTATACTGGGCATGGTACGGGTCAACTTTCTTAGTGCATGACTCACTGCCCTTTTGACTAATAAAAACACTGCCTTCTGAGATTTACATTTTATTCTTCATGCACCCTTGGGCATCTTAAAGAAAAAGACTGTGAAATTAATGCAGATTCGGGCTGATTTTGTAATAATACCATGGCACACTAAAAGCTTAGCTAAAGCAACACAGACTTATTTCACTTGTGATCTCTAATGACTTTAAAAGTGCATTGATTTTCAGCTCCCTTAGCCTTGCACAGTTTGAACTTAGGTTTCAGAGAATAATTTAGTGTTCCACTCAATTTCCTCAAAACATTATTATTATTACTACTTAAAAGATTTCCAAATGAAGCAAATCTAAGCACTGAGAGGCTAAAGCATATTGTCATTTTAGAGCTAATACATGAAAGCTACATTCTGGCATCAAAAATACAATGTTGTTGCCCCTGTGGCCAATGGGCAAAATTAACTATTTTGCAATCCAACAAGCAACAGATTGTTTGGTTTATGCAAATCAATTTGAGGCATAAAATACCTTTTCTTTTTTGCACCGTGTGTACCTGGTGAGATTATCAAGTCAAGACTGTATTCACATTTTAATCAAACAACAGTAAGAGAAAGCAATGCCTGATCATTACCCAAAAGCACTACATCTAGTCATGAAAATAAAGTCAATGCATTTTTGCATCATGCGGTACTTTTTTTTCTCATTAATGTAAAAGCCCTTGGTACAGGACAACCTAAACTGGCTTATGTACCTCTGGCTGACAGGTCAGCATTTTAAAATCAGAAGAAGAACTCTTTTTAACGCAAACTTCATGGCAATGTCATGACTCTACTGATGATGTCTTACAGCTGTTTAGACACAACTACTATACTTCCATTATTCAGCAACAAAGTCCTGTCAAAGAAAATGATGTAATGAATGGCTTTCTGTACAGCATTCTAGACCAAATGTGCATAGAAGGGTAAATAAATTACAGTACCTCTGCTAGCTTCCATAATGCTGCTGTGCACTAAAATGAAAGAGGCCCAAATTTACCATTGAAGTAATCTCTCCAACAAAAACATTTCTGTTATTATCATTAAAAGAGGAAATATCACCAAGGGTTTGCATTTCTTGTCTTGCAAATTCAAAGGGGGGTGAATACAAATAGAGATATACCGGAGGACAGGCAAGAAACCCCATAGAGCCTTGAGTAATATTGTTTATAACAGTCAAGAAACTACTTCATTCACTTCTCTTGCTCTCATTATCCAGGAGTGTGTAGCACAGTGACAATTACTGAATTGGAGGCTTAGAATGCATAAGAAGCATGTAAAATGTCAACAAAAATCAATAAGACACAGTTTATGCATTTATCACAATTTCTACCCAGCGGAACTGCTGTAAGTAACTTACTGAGAGATGTTGCAATTAGCAGGTCTCAAAAGAAATGTGAATCCGCAGAGAAATAAAGCTGTACTCTTCTCAAGATAAAGGAGACTTGCTCCTCCCTCCCTTAAGCTTTTTCTCTTTTTAAGCACAAAGCTCAGCTGCTGGGGACTTTCAGTGCCCAATGCTACGGCAAAACCTCCTTCCTCATCGCCCAGCCCAAATTCATTTGCTTGGATCCTGTTTTCCTTTGTTGTGGAGTGAAAAGACTTGTCGCTGATCTCTGCAAAGTGCTGTATAGCAAGCTACCTAGTTAAAAGAAACTTGTTCTCTGGGCAAGGGGAATGCTTGATAAACGAGGTTATGCAGCTTGAATACAAGCATTTGGAAACAGCATTTTATGGAGAAGATGGGACTGCATTTTAATTACGGTTTGCCAGCCAGAGGCTACAAGGTTAGGTTCCCTTGTTATCTCTGGTCAGCAAGGCGTTTTCCACCAATGGACAGCGGCCATTTGCACAGTAAATACCCAATTTACTTTAATAATCATGGTAAAAATTAAGTAGACAACTTCATTTCTAAATCATCTGATAACCTACACTTTCAGTTATTACCATCAAGCATCCCAATTAGATGGTAGCTAATTAAGCCATATTTCCAGACGTTGTTCCAGACTAAAACACTATGCATTTTCACATTTAAAGGTTGTGAGTTTTTTTTTTCAGGTACCAAACCTGGACAATCACATGCAATATTTGTATATGTTATGTGTGCACATACATATTATTGTGTAGGAAACATGGGATCCTATATATTTAATTGTCCATGAAAAATGGAATCCCTTCCTTCTACATGACCAGACTGCCACAATGGAGAGAAGCTAAGCCTAGATAACAGAATTCAATCCACTTCATTGCTAGATTTGCACGTGTAACTGAGCTACTGAGAAAAGCTGTTCTTGGATGCTTGTATTCTATGCCTCCTTTAATTTTTCTATATGGGGAACACAGGCATTTTAGAAGGATATTTTTCTTGGGCACCTAGAATTTCATCAGAAGTTGGTATTTAAGCACCCTTTATTTCACTTTTTTCAGTTAGATGAGCTCTGGCAGCCCTGAACCAGCCCATACGCATCCTTGTACCTATGGGGCTGGGAAAACATTCCCTTTTCAGCACACTTCACTATATCTCATGGATACAGGTGGTCTTTTGGGAAAATGCCAGCAGCTTTAGGACTGTAGATCACAATTATAAGAGGACAAGTCTAATCAGATTTCATGCCTCGCAGTGCAAGGAAACAAGAAAGATTTCCACGGCCTCTTACCTCATCACCTGAAACACTGCATTAATTGTAATGCCATAGGCCAAGCTCTTCTGCATCAATGGCTACAAGCAAACTATTTCCGTTCTACCATACCAAGTCATTTCTGCCTTCCTTCTGGAGCTACAGAGCTCCGACTGAGAGCAAAAGCACAGAGAGGGGATATTTCTATAGCTAACGCTTTGAAATTATTACTTTTATTTTGTGAAAAAGATCCCTCTGTAAATACAGCCAACCTAAAAGTCACGTTCCAATTATTTATGACCTCTGGTTTCAAAATGTCAGGGATCACTAACAGAAGCGAAAGGGATGGAGAAAGGAAGGCTAGGAGCCTTAGCTGTATCTCCAAGGCTGCGTTCTCACCCTGTACAACAGATAAGTGGTTGACTAGGGACAGGTTTCTTCAAGTAATTTCCTTCTTTCAGGCAGAATTAGAGTGAGGTACCCAGCCCCATCACAAAGCAAATTTTGTAGCGCATTACTGCATCTGCCACCTCAGCTAAAGCAACATCCAGACACACTGGGTTGGTCTTCTTTTACCCCTAGAGCTAAAGAGAATTTTGAAAAGGCTGCAAAATTAGAAAAGCTTCCTTCTTGAACCATGCCACCCCAACAATTAGGGCTTGATGCTTGAGCAACTGCATTATCAGAAATATTTTACAATGCCCAGCACTGCCCCAGTTTAGCTGCTGCTTCACTTTGTTCTTCTCATCTCGGGCTTTCATAGACTGTTTTGAAATGTTTGCCTGTTCATGCACATAGCAACATCAATACTAGAGAGCTGCCAGTGAAGTAGAAATTTTAAAGGATGTAGGCCTCAAGGTAAGGGGTCTGATTTCATACCTGCACAAGAAAGCTCCCAGATAAAGCTACCAGTGTCTACCAGAGTTTTTAAAGCTTGAAAGTTTTTAAAATTTGGAATCAGGCCAAGAGTTAAAAATGGAGGTTTAAAAAACATGGCATTAGAATTCTGGAGATGAAAGAAAGGCAGAAACAATCAATTAAAAAAAAATATTATATATATATGTATATATACAGTGACCCCTCTGACACAGAAGAAGGCTCAGGAGATTTTCAAAGCCATCCAAGCAACTGCAGCCTGATGCATGGAGGCTGCACAGCTGGTGGTGTAATGGTTTTTCTACAACTTCTCAGTTAACCATAAATTAGATTTTTCTTCACTTTCTGCAAAGAAACAATAGTGAAAAGCTGCCAAAATACTCCTGCAAGAAGCATTTGGGATCCTCTGTGTTGGAAGTCTTTATTTGAAGAAAAGATAAGGCTCAAGTAAAAGGCTATAGAAATCAAGTGTGATAAAAATAAGTTCTAGTTGGGCTAAAATATTTCTAGCAGAGATTGCAAAGTAGACTTTCCCTTTTCTACACTGATACTATAGCACAGCCTGTTGGAAGGACCAGTGTAGGAGACAGCCTTCTACTGAAACTGATCACTCAAAAATCTCTGTGGCTTA